ATCCCAGGACTCTGGGACCATGCCCTGAGCCAAAGGCAGACGCTTAACCATCTGAGCCACCCAGGCGCCCCAGAAATATATTTTTTTAATATTTATTTAGTTGAGAGAGAAAGAAAAGAGAATCTCAAAACCGACTGCGCTGAGTGCAGGGAGCCTGACACAGAGCTCCAACTCAGGACCCTGAGATCACGACCGAAGCTGAAACCAAGAGTCCAATACTTGACCAACTGCACCACCCAGGCGCCCCCAAAGGCACTTAGAGACCAGAAAACAACACAAGCTACACCATAACTCCTTAGAGTCTTACTCGTGATAACTTACAGGGAGAATCCGGCAGACAGAAAATGCTGAGCACGATACAGCTACTCTCCGCCAAATCGAGGCCTTCATCCCCACTTTCTGGAGGGCGAGCAGCGTGGTGGTGAGGTCACAGGGTGGTTGTCTCAGGTGGTGGACCTGTGCAACAGCGCTGGCTCTACTAGTTAGCAAAAGTGGAGCGTTCTGTGCGCCAGCCATCTCTACTATTAGCGAAAGTGGTGCCCCCTGTGTGTCACTTTAGGGAAGATCAGAACAAGCCTTCCTGCATTCAGGTCAGGGGATGCATTAACCTCCACGGGGCCTGAAACGTGTGGCCTCGAGGGGAGGTCATTGCGAGGGCATGAACGAGATGGAGGGCCAAAGGTGGAATCAATGTTGTCAGCACTCCTACCCTGCCCTTAACATTTCGGCCTTTTTAACATAATCCTAATTTTGTTTACCTTCCCCAGATGGTCTTTCAGGAGAGGCTTGCCCCTCCTCACACCTGGGATATGAACCCTCAATTGGCCTGAGCCCATCATGGACGCCTCACCACCCTTGTTGGTGACAGGCATAGACAGTTGAAGTAATTTTAATTAATAAGATATGAGAGGAAATCTGCTGAGGGGAGAGGTTTTTCTTAGTCTTAAAAAAGGGCAGAACATAAGGGTGTTCCCTACTTCTGCTTGTGGATATCATCTGTAATCTGAAACTCAGTCATTTTAGGACCATAAGTTGAGGTAAATTGGGTGCAAGGGTAACTGACTAAATTTCCTTCTACGTTCAAGCTGTTCTTCCTATCAAAAGGTGGAGTCTATTTCCCCTTCCCATGAGTCCTGCCTTTCTGCCGATAGAATACAGCAGAACTAATATAATGCCAATTCCAAACCTAGGCCTTAAGAGAACTAGCCTGTTCCCTTTCTCCTTCACTCTGTTGGAAGCCCTACACCATATAAGAAAGCTTAGGCTAACCTCCTGAATGATGGAGACTACACGAAGAGAAAGAAGCTTTATAGAGGAGAATCAAGTAACTCCAGCCAACAGGCAGCACCCAAGACCACAGCAATATGCGTGAAGGCTTCTTGGACCTTCTAGTCCCAGTTAAGCCATGCTAGCTGACACCTCAGAGAGCATGAGCTAGTCATCTCTGCTAAGCCCTGCCTGAATTCCTGACCACAGAATTGTGAACAATAAAACACCTGCTGTTTTATTTATGCAGCAACGGATAACTGAAACATACGGTAATATTATTTGTTCTCTTGATTTGTAAAATTACCATAGCTGGTTCACAATGATCAAGATTTCGTTAATCACTCTGAAAGCTAATTATTTTTTCCCAAATATGTATGTCTTAATGGCCTTAGCTTACAGAAGATGTTTTCAGGGGCACCTGGGTAGCTCAGATGGTTAAGCGTCTGCCTTCGGCTCAGGTCACGATCCCAGAATCCTGGGATCGAGTCCCGCATCGGGCTCCCTGCTAGGCGGGGAGCCTGCTTCTCCCTCTGCCGCTGCCTCTCTCTCTCTCTCTCTCTGACTCTCATGAATGAATAAATAAAACATTTAAAAAAAAAAAAAAGCTGTTTCCATGTATACACATCACCTTGTACTAACACTTTTTAAAAAAGATTTTATTTATTTGACAGAGAGAGAGACAGTGAGAGAGGGAACACAAGAAGGGGGAGTGGGAGAGGGAGAAGCAGGCCCCCCACGGAGCAGGGAGCCCAATGCAAGGCTCGATCCCAGGACCCTGGGATCACGACCACAGCGGAAGGCAGACGCCTAACGACTGAGCCACCCAGGCGCCCCTATACTAACATTTTTTAAATAATTAAAGGGAAGTATTTGTAACAAATGAGTTGATGACCTTGCAAGTAAAAAAACCTATCGCAAATATAAAAGGAAAATAGTAACATTTCAAGTTAAAAAATGGGAAAGGCCATTTCCTTGAAAAATCATAAATGGTCAATAAACATAAAAAAAATACCTTATCCTCAAGGTCCCTAATCTAAATTAAATGCAAGTTAAAACATAAAGCACCACTTTTCACCTACTAGATGGCCAAAGAAAAAATCACTAAGTCTCCTAGGTTCCGGTGAAAAATGGGAACACCCCTCGTTAGAGTCGCAGCCTGGGACACCAGAGTCTCCTTGAACGACGGGGGCTTGACTTCGGGCAGTGGTGTCTACGGCCAGACAGTGGCGTAACAGAGCTAGCACAGAGCTCTTGTAAGGCTGAAACGGTATGCACACGAAGAGCAACAGAAGACGCGTTAACTTTTGCCGGAGGTACTGGAAACTCACTACAATTACAGGAAAATCTTAATACTTTCCTGGGAAACTGCAGCTGAGATGATAGGGAGTGGTGTGCGGGAGGCGGGTGCCAGCGGAGGAGGCCACACTAGGAGGCAGCCAAGGCGGGGGGCGGCGCCCTCCAGGGTGGGACGACCTCTCCCAAAGGCGCCCGCCTCCCAGCTCACCCTCGCCGGGGCCTCGGCGCTCGGCGGGGCTGGACGCCAGCGAGGGAAGGCGGTGGGAACGAAGGATCCGCGGCGCCGATTGGCTGCCTGTGAGCACGGGGCGGGGCGCACGGAGGCTCCCGAGGACGCGCGAGCGGAAGGCCGCGGGAGCGCACTTCCGGTCTTTGTGGCTCGCCGCTCCGAGTCAGCGGCTTGCGCCTTGGGCGCTGCTGGGCTTCGCGGTGAGGGACGCGGGCCCCGAGCGGAGGGAGGGTGGGGAGGGCGGGGAGGGCGCGCGGCCCGGGCGGCGGGCGCGAGGTGAAGGAGCCCTGCTACCCGGGCCTGCCCATCCCCTTGTCCGGGCGGCGTTTCCGAGCGTCCTGGGGAGCGTGAGGAGGCCAGCTCAAGCCCGTGCTTTCCAGCGGAAAGGACAGTTGCTCCCCCACTCTGTGACTTCGCAAATGCTGTAGTTTACACCGGGCTATAAAAATAGGGTAATGCGGCCGGGCTGGCTTAATAAACCTAAATATTAGCCTAAATATTCTAATCTCTAAAGTTCAGTGTTAGGATCAAATTGTATTGATCTGTCCTGCTGTTTTCAAGGGCATACCCTCCTGTCGATAATCACCCATCCTAGAATCAGGTCATGTGTGAGCTCTGTCACACAATTTAACACATAATTATTTGTTGCCATATTTCACTCTATAAAATGTTTACTGAGGCGCCTGGGTGGCTCAGTCGTTAAGCGTCTGCGTTCGGCTCAGGTCATGATCGCAGGGTCCTGGGATCGAGCCCCGCATTGGGCTCCCTGCTGGGCGGGAAGCCTGCTTCTCCCTCTCCCACTTCCCCTGCTTGTGCTCCTGCTCGCGCTGTCTCTCTCTGTTAAATAAAATCTTTAAAAGAAAAAAAATACTGTTTACTCCCCTGTATTCTAAGCTTGAGAACTGAGATTAACCTTTTTGCTGTTTTCGTGTTTCTATGATAACGGACATGTTTTTCAGCACACAGTAAGCATTTAACAAACACTTCTTGGTTAATTCCTCTGTAGTTTAATTTACTCACAAGCAAAAAATCTTTGTCTTTTGCCTGGCTCACGACAGAGCCCATGGTAAGTGCCTCAGTGCTTGTTGAAGAAATGCATTGAAAACTAAATTTGATCAAATGGCAATTAGAAGAAAAGTGTTTTTATTTGAATCAACTCATTTAACATGAAGTTTTTAAAATGTTACTCCCGCAAATGAAAATCAACATCATTTGCCATAGATGGAAGGTAACTACAAATATATTTTTATTATTTAATTTTTATATTTTATTTTATTTATTTTTTTAAGATTTTATTTATTTGACAGCGAGAGAGGGAACACAAGCAGGGGGAGTGTGAGAGGGAGAAGCAGGCTTCCGCTGAGCAGGGAGCCCGATGCAGGGCTTGATCCCAGGACTCTGGGATCATGATCTGAGCCGAAGGCAGATGCTTAACCGACTGAGCCACCCAGGCACCCCTATTTATTTAATTTTTAAAGACATTATTTATTTATTTGGTAGAGAGAGAGAGCACAAGCAGAGGGAGAGGGAGAAGCAGGCTCTCTGCTGAGCAGGGAGCCTGATACCGGCCTCAATCCCAGGACTCTGGGATCATGACCTGAGCCAAAGGCAGATGCTTAACCGACTGAGCCACACAGGCGCCCCTAAAAATAAATTTTTAAAAGTCAGCATTACTAAATCCTAGCTAGATACTGTTACCCTTAAGAAGTCTGAGGCTTATACTTTATTGAAAAGGGAGTTCTGCAAGTTTTACAGATAAGTTAAAGACAGATTTTTTTCTCCTTGATACCATCAGGATTGAAAGAATTGAAAAGGAAATTTCTCATTATGTAATTCATGGTAATATTGCATTCTTTTGCTTCTAAAATAATTTATGCATTAGTGGCAGAAATTCTAAATGGGTGATAAATGGGGTGAATGATCTTTAGTTTGTCACTTGATTATTATTTTAGTTAGAGTCTCAAACTTGTTTCCTTTCAACACATTACTGGATGATCTTTATTATAAGTTCTTAAAAGATTTTTTTTTCACTGCTGTAAGTTAACAGTGCTTTTCTATCTTTCAGAAAAGAAGAGAGTACTCAAAGAAACTCTGAAATACTGTACCCAGTCATAGTGAGCTTTTTGCTCCACTGTTTAAGCCAGAATGGCTGTGGAATCCAGAGCAGTTTCAACCTCGGTACCTCAGAGTCCTCAGGATCAAGAACTAATACTAGTGAAAGTAGAAGAAAGCCTCTCCTGGGGTCAGAAATGTAAGCAGAGTGGGAGCATCAGATCCTGCCAAGAATTGTTCCGCCAGCAATTCAGAAAGTTTTGCTACCAGGAGACACCTGGGCCCCGGGAAGCCCTGGGCCGACTCCAGGAGCTTTGCCATCAGTGGCTGAGGCCAGAGTTGCACACCAAGGAGCAGATCCTGGAGCTGCTGGTGCTCGAGCAGTTTCTGAGCATCCTGCCTGAGGAGCTGCAGATTTGGGTTCAGCAACATAGTCCAAAAAGCGGCGAGGAAGCTGTGACCCTGTTGGAGGATTTGGAGAGGGAATTTGATGATCCAGGGCAGCAGCAGGTGGGAACAGGGAGATGTGATATGTTGTGGGAAGAAAAATGTACAGACGGGAGCATGTGCGTCCTCACAGCAGTGGAATGGAAAATTGTCTCTACGGCACCACACCCTGCAGTGACTACTATGGCCGTACCTGTCTCTGTCCTTAAATAGTTCTTTTTTTCCCTGTCGCCTATCCTGGAGATGTCGTTTCCCTCTTTGAAATTTTTACTAGGCATTTTCCCTGGGGAGTTTTTCACAAAGCTAACCATCTTTTACTGATTTCAGGGACCAGCAGTACCATGGAAGGATTTGACAGGTCTTGGAACATCCCAAGAGTTAACAAACATCCAACTCCAGCCTTTAAAGACACAGCTGAAACCCTGGGAACCTTGCCTTTCCCCCCAAAATGGTAAGAAAGTAGAAACTCATCTGGGAACTGTTATCAGGCCTCTAGTTTTGAGGATACAGAATTAATTACATTTTACAAACATGCCACACCTGAGCCTCTCACTTGTCTTACTCTAGACCAGAGGTATCCACTTCAGCAGCTTTGTATTCAGCAACCCTCCGGAAGTGCAGTCAGCCCTTCGTGTTTCAGTTTCCCTGTCATCTCTTCACTTACTCCTTGATTGTATAACTTAATAGGGTGCTAACACGTGTCTGGTACTGTGGTAGGCACTGGGTCTCTACCTTCAAGGAACTTTGACATCTAGATGGGGTGGTGGACAAGCAAAAGGGCAATGGCAATATAGTATAATAAATTATAGAATAAAAGTAGGCCCTAGGTACTATGGGGACACATGAACACACCTAACCCAACCTTAGAGGTTCAAGGAGTACTTCTTGGAGGAGGAGACACCCAAACTAAGACACCTAAACTAAGATTTGAACTATGAGTAAAAAGAAAACCAGGTAAATAGGTGGGAGGAAGAGTGTCCCATCCTAAAGGGAAAAACTGTTTTTTCTACTCACAGCACTTCTGACACTGGATGTGTGGGATTTTCCCTCACCTTAAGTAACACTAATTTTGAGCCTAATTGCCCAGAATTAGCGAAGATCCCACAGGTTAAAGTTTTGGTCCCACAAGAGTGCCTCCCTCCCCACCCCCCACTTCAGATGCCAGTAGCATGTAATGAATCCCCAGGTCACCCACACTTCTGTCCGATTTGGCTGCAAATCTGACATTCCGTGACCACCTCTTTAGGTTTCATAGTTTGCTGTAATAGCTCACAGAACTCCGGGAAACACCTTGCTTATTCTTACCAGTTTATAAAGGACAAAAGTGAACAGCCAGATGAAGAGGTACATAGAGCAAGATCCAGAAGGGTCCCAAGCACAGGAGCTTCTGTCCCCGTGAGGTTAGAGGTTCACCACTGTTGTGGCCCTTGGATGCATTCACCATCGTGGATGGAACCCCTTTGGGTTCTGGGATCGAGCCCCACATCAGGCTCTCTGCTATGCAGGAGGCCTGCTTCTCCCTCTCCCACTCCCCCTGCTTGTGTTCCCTCTCTCCCTGTGTTTCTCTCTGTCAAATAAATAAATAAAATCTAAAAAAAAAAAAGTTTTGAATGGAAGTGAGGTTGTGTGAAGGAGAAGTGGAGGAAAGGAGCTTGATGTGAAACAGATGAGAAATTTGGTCTTATTTAAATGCTGGTGAACATGAGTCAGCAGAGAAAGAGGGTGAAAATAATAGGAAAGGAATAGTAGCTAATTGATCAAGTGAAGTTTCAGAGGAAGCAGGAAAGAATAAACCTCAAACTGTAGATGTAGGCCTTCATATTAGAAAGTCGGACGGACCAGTATGGGCAATTAAAGAAAGATGTGTGTGGACCGTGACCTCTTTTGTGGGTAGAAGCCTCTGTTTTCTCTCACATGGTGGGTACTGAGAGTGACTAGCGAAATAAAAGTCTGTTTTTGCTGTTATCATTTCAGATTGTGAGAACAGTGTATCAGCGACCAAGAAGGACATTTCAGGAGAAAAATCACAAGGACGTCCCCAGGAACCTTCACTTGGAGGAGTTAGTGAACACAGCAGCGATTTAGAGTGGCAACAAGAAAGTGCTACAGGGGAGAAATTAAGAAGATCCCCTTCCCGAGAGGGCAGTTTTAGTCAAGTAATCTTCACACACAAATCTCTGGGAAAGAGAGACCATCATGAGCCTCAAAGCAGCTTGATTCTAAGTACAAACTCTATAACTTACCAGAAAGTTCCTACAGAAGAGAGACCTTATAGATGTGATGTATGTGGCCACAGCTTCAAACAGCATTCCTCTCTAACACAACATCAGAGAATCCATACTGGAGAAAAGCCCTATAAGTGTAACCAGTGTGGGAAGGCTTTTAGTTTGAGGTCCTACCTGATCATTCATCAGAGAATTCACAGTGGTGAGAAAGCATATGAATGTAGTGAATGTGGGAAAGCCTTCAATCAGAGCTCAGCCCTCATTAGACATCGCAAAATTCATACTGGGGAGAAAGCTTGTAAGTGTAATGAATGTGGCAAAGCATTCAGTCAAAGTTCGTATCTCATTATACATCAAAGAATTCACACTGGCGAGAAACCCTATGAGTGTAATGAGTGTGGGAAAACCTTTAGCCAAAGCTCAAAGCTTATTAGACACCAGCGAATTCATACAGGAGAGAGACCTTATGAATGTAATGAATGTGGAAAAGCTTTCAGGCAGAGTTCAGAGCTGATAACCCATCAGAGAATACATAGTGGAGAGAAGCCCTATGAATGTAATGAGTGTGGAAAAGCTTTCAGTTTGAGCTCAAACCTCATCAGACATCAGAGAATTCATAGCGGAGAGGAACCTTATCAGTGTAATGAATGTGGCAAAACCTTCAAAAGGAGCTCAGCCCTTGTTCAGCATCAGAGAATCCATTCTGGGGATGAAGCTTACGTATGTAACGAATGTGGGAAGACTTTCAGGCACAGATCAGTCCTCATGCGCCACCAGAGGGTCCACACTGTAAATTTGTGAATACAGTGAATGTTGTAAATATTTCGGTCAGATTTTTATCTTTGTTAGTTGAAAGGGTTTACTTTGGAACAAGACTCCAGGCTGGTAAACTACCAGGTCTGGAGTCATTCTGACTTCACTAAGCAGCACTTCCCATGCTAATGCAAATTGTCCCTTGAAAGCTTTTCCTAGGACTAATCAGAACAGCAGACGGAAGAATCACTGCTTCCAGCTTTTCTCTTACCATTAGGAATACTCAGGAAATGAGAAAAATGGGAATATAACATTGAAACCTCATTTTCCATGAGAATGTCATGAAGGGGGTACAGCAACCCGGGCTGTCCCTGAATCTGATTGTCCACATGCCAGGTTTGGGGTATGGTGTGGACAGTATGAGGGACATTTTTGTCTCAGGAATACAAAATTTTACTGGCCAATTAAGAACAGTGACAGGGCAGCAAGACAGATGGGGAGACAGTTCATCGATAATGTGTTGAGCCCAGGGCGGTCCAGAAATGAGGTAGTGGAAAGAATACAAATTAATTTATCCAACAGTTATTTTTTGAGGGCCTGTGTTGTGTCAGGCACTAGGAATACGATGGGAAATAAGACTGTCTCTGCAGTTGAATGGGCAAGGCAAACCGGCATTATGGCATATCAGGGCTCTGTGACATTAAGGAGTACCTGACCCAACCTTGGATCAGGGAAAGTTTCTGAGAAAAATGAACTGAAGGGTGAACAGGAGTTAGCCAGGTAAGTAGGCAGACAGGCCAGGGAACAATATTTCCAGTAGAGGGAACAGACAAAGGTCAGGAAGAATGTCTGGCATGTCTGAGAAAAGGCCATTTTGTGTGGAGTATTCCTGTTGAGTTGCTTTTGAAGTGGAGTCCTGTCTGTAAGAGAAGCATAGATGTAGCAAAGTAAGAGCCGGTGGAGAAGCTTCTGTTATTAGACAAAACCTGGAGTTCTTGGACTACAGGGTAAAGCGGAGCTTTGTCTTGGTCTGGTGTGAGCTGGGGGAAGGGGTTAATAACTAGTTTCCTTGCCTAGGCTCAGCTAGACCTGGTTGGGGCGGAGGGAGGCGGGGTGGTTAGAAAGCCCAGCCTAGCGGGTTAAGCACCTGTTAGAGTTCTGAATCTTCCTTTTCCTAAACAGAAGGACTCCTTTGGTTCTTGAGACTATCAGAGCTGTTGTCCGCTTCCTGCTCACTCACAAGGCTCTGGGTCGGAAGCTGCTCTGGCTTCCACATTTGTTTCTGGGGCTGTACCCCCACAGTTCTAGTGCACTCCCTTGGGCTCAGGTGCTAAAAAGTAATTTCAGTTGCTGAGTCTGTGACTTATTCTCCAGGCACCTCAAATGTGTTCAGTTTTGCCTTTTATCAGCAGTATTTCACAGTCATGTGAATTTTAAAGACCTGCTAAAGGGAAGTGGCAACAAAAAGTAACAGTCCTGGTCCATCAGAGACTACCCTCTTCTGAGAGACCCAGCAGGAAAAGTATCCCTAGACTGGTGCTTTTCAGTGCAATGCAGGAAGGGATATAGGTTAGTCAGCAACAGAAAAACCTGTTATTCAAAAATACCTGACAGGTCAGAGTTCTAACACCTTGCCAAAAATAGAAATCTATGGGAATCTAGAATCCTGAGCTTAGGAAAAGAAGAGTTTTCATGAGGATAAGTAGAGAATGTGCTTGTTGGGACATACATAGATAAGCAGATACTAACCTTAAGAATGGCTGGTAGGCTGAATCCCTATGCTTGGGGAGAGAATGTGAAGAAAGGGATAGGATAACAAAGTAACATGGTAAGAGCTATTCATATTCAGCTCTTCTATTTCCCAAGATAAAGACTCAAACTGAAAAAGGGTAGGACAGTTGTTAAGTAGGAATTGATACAACATATATTACAAAAGGGGAGATTCTTTATAGAGCGTTCTTAACATATCCATAAGAAACATACTAGGTACTTTGCTAAGGGCTTTGTATATATTTGTTGTTTCTCTGACAGCGCATATTTTGCAGATGAGGAAATGAAGGCTTAGGATCATGGCTTAGTCAATATCATATAGCTAAAAAGTGGTCAGGCCAGACTTCGAACCAGGCAATAGGAAAACGAAACCCTTCTGTGGAGCCACTTCTCGATAGTATCTCCCCATGAAAAAGTCCCAGTAGAAAAAATTGTACCTAAGTAAGCAAATCACAAAAGAACAAATGCCAATGGGTGACAGAGGGTCAGCCTTGCTAGAATTAAAAATGTGTATTAAAGCGAGAGTTGAGACAGCACTTTTTCCCCCCTCATAAAACGAAGATTCAGGGACATTGGGACTCCAATGCTGCTGGTGAGCTGTGAATAGGTCGGATCTCTGGCAATCAATACCAGAAGCCTTAAGCATTGCCTTTTGACTTTAAAATTCTACCTGGAAATGTATGCTTCAGAAAACATCATGAATGTATACAAAGTCTTAAAACGCTGTTAAAAAAGTGATGTTGATGTCAAAAGAAATGACAGCATATCTTAAGTAAAATAGAACATGTACAATATGACTCCATGTAAAAATATATTTATGCATTAAAAATCCTGGAAATAATGTAATCTCAGGGTGCTACACTGGCTATCTCTGGGTGATAAAATTATAGGTGATTTAATTTTTTCTTGTGATTTTTCTGTCTTCCAAACTTTCCTACAATAAATACTTGTAACCTTAGAGGAAAAAAGGGTAAAAGGAGTGAGCGCCCAGGATAGTCAAGAAATACTAAGAAAAGCACATGCTTTCTGTAGCATCTCTGTCCTTCCCAAGTCCTAGGTTATCTAACTTGTTAACTCTGACCCTCTGGCCCATGACTTCCTCATTGTTAAGTGACAGACACAACCATCTCACACTAGTGTACAGAAAAGTCCTGCAAATTATCTCTGTGCAAATACAAGTTATTTGCATGAAGGATTTCTGTAGTTGAGGAAAGCAATAACCTTGAAGTAGAGCCCTTTGTTCGTGTTAGTGCTTTTCCGTGAATTCTGCAGCCATAAGCAAGTCCCCTTACAACTCCACCCTCAGCTTAAAGGAGCTGAAGTAGATGACGTTTTATAGTTAAAGCTTCAACGTTCTTTGTGTTTATGAAAGAGCAGGCACCAATATAAGGTAGATGTCAAAGGGGATTTTATTTTTTAATTTTTTAAAAAGATTTTACTTATTTGACAGAGAGAGACAGACAGCGAGAGAGGGAACACAAGCAGGGGGAGTGGGGGAGGGAGAAGCAGGCTTCCCGCTGAGCAGGGAGCCCGATGCGGGGCTTGATCCCCCAGGATCCTGGGATCATGACCTGAGCCGAAGGCAGACGCTTAACGACCGAACCACCCAGGTTCCCCTCAAAGGTGATTTTAAATAAGATGTGCAATTTAGGCAGGGTGCTTACTATCACTTTCCTACCTCTTGCCTTCTCCCTCCTCATTTCCATAGACTGCAATTAACTGTCCAGATGGAGATTGGAAATTTAAGCAAAGCTGACCTTGGTGTCTCCAAGCTCCCCTGTGAATTTCTTTGCTTCTCTTGCCCCATTAAGTGAATCCTCCAAGTAAGAGGGATTGCCAATTAGACTATTTCCCATGTACAAGAAACCGACCTGGAGAGCATTTCTGCAAAGAAGGGTGAGCCCTGTGGGCAGACCTTGCTTTCTGGTGGGTCAGAACCAGACTTTGCTACTCAGTAACTTTATCATCTGCAGCTGTCTTCTTAGCTGGTGCAAATGATAACAAATCTAAAGGGTCTTAGGGTTTTTCTGCACATGTTTCCATTGAGGACCCGCTGAGAGAGGAGGGGAAGTCCAAGTCCATGGCAGTCTCCGAGGCTCTTGCTCCTGGGGCGGGGTGGGGGAGGACACACAATGTGTACGTGTTTAAAGAGGCTATTTGTTCTTCCCATGATTTCTCAACCAGCTGCCCCTAAATTTTGTGACTTCACCTGGTAAATTGTAGCCCAAGGGACTAGCTATGTTTCCAGACACCTGAACCAGGAAATAAAAGCCAAGCACACCCACTCCCTGATTTCTTGCCACAATTCCCTCCCGCTTTCTCCCAGCACACCTCCACTTGTGTTACTAGGCTCCCTATTCCTGAAAAATCATTTCAAAGCAAAGCTTAAGATTCAAATTTTATTATAATACATCTTGTATTACATTCTAATGCTAAACAGTTTAAGTATATAGTCAAAGTATAAATGTTAAAATCAGTTACTAAAAATGATTTACCAAACATGATTTTTGCCAAAAAATACTAGTGTTGGGGAAAGAAAAAAATAATAGAACTGCAAAATATTAACAATGTTTTTGTGGGTGGTGGGATTGAGGGTGACTTGTACTTTCTCATTTTCTGTATTACCAACATTTACAATTAATTCACAACCTGGAAAAAACCCTATTGAATAAAATTAAAAACATGAAATCATCCAATTGTCACCTAGAGGAAAAGGCAACTTCATCCATTTGAAGGGTCTCTCCAGAATTCCGACTGACCTCACTCAATGAAAATCCTCCAACCTATGGATACAGAGACTGCCCCCCCCGCCACGCCCAACTTCACCTCCCCTATTACCCACAACAGCTTTGATCACCAACAGACAACCCACAACAGCTTTGGTTCAAAAGAGACAGTATTCGGAAGGGAAATCAAACCTTCTCTTACATATGAATTGCCTTCAGCAATTAATGGTGGGTTAATTAAAACTGCCAAAATAAAAATTAGCAGAGAAGTAGAGTTTTGAGTAATCTAGGGGGTAATTCAATAAGTATTCATTGCCTTCAAGTAGCTTAGTATCTTTGAGCCTGATGATAAGGGGAGGAGACAGGAAATGAGGAATAGTGGACCCTGGGAAGGCAGACCTCCCATTCCTATGCTCCTGTCAGCTTCCCATTTCCTGAGCCCCAGGGTTATGGGACACCAACACTGTCCCTCTAGCCTCCAATATGTTTTCCTTCCTTGGTGTACCTACATGCTTTTTTCCATACGATGCACCAAAGTCTACCATCACACTAATTGTCCTGAGTCCCTCAAGGTCTCTTAAGTAACTCTGGATCTGGGATAGGCTATCCAACTCACTGATTATAAACAGGAAGTGAGGAACCAACACAAGTCCTGGCTTCTGAACCAGAGTCTACAGGAACAAATTCCTGCTGGAGGAGTCCTGATGAAGAGACATCTGTAGATCCTGTCTCCATGCCTTTGTATGTGCTATAACAATCTCTGTCTATAATGTTCTCTTCCCTCTTGCCTTGACCTGGCTTATACCCACCCTTTATCCCCCAAGAGATTTCATCACATCCAAGAAGCCTTTAGTGTCTTGTAGACCAGGTTAGGTGGCCCTGCCACGTATTTTGACAGAATCCTAGATTATTCTACTTATCACACTTTACTGTAATTACCTGCTTAATAAATATGTATGTATCCCATTAGTCCTTAACTCTGGGAGGGCAATGGCTATGTCTGCCCCTGATGACTGGCACATAGCAGGTGTGCAATAAACAGACAGACCTCAATTGACCTCAGGAAGCTCAGGGCTGAGAAGAGAACTGGCAAGGGGGCAGAGTGAACTATAAATGGATCCAGAGCGTAATTCAACATTTCACAACCTCATAATTGAACACTTCAGAGAACCAAGTAACTCTCAGCATATGCCTCCAACAGCCATATGCATGCTGTTCTTGCTGGACAGAGAGCCTTGCCCTGGGAGGCACCACCTCGCAGTGCATCTTATAAGGCGTTCTTTCAGGATCTTTGCCCCAAACCTGGCTTTACTGTGAAGGCGCCCATTCAACACATCAACAACCACCTTTGTGTGGATCTCCTTGTACAGCGAGTACTGACTTAGACTGGAAGGACAGAATCCCTGGTCTCGGGAAACTTCTCACTTTGGTGGGAATCTCACCACCGAAGTGAATCCCTGGTATTACACAATTGTACAATCCTTACCCAAGAGTTAAACTCTGGTGTGAGTTCTCTGGTGCTGCATAAGGCCTGACCTGTGCCTAAATGTTTTCCTACATTCGCTACACTCATAAGGCTTCTCCCCAGTGTGGATTCTCTGGTGCTGCGTGAGGGCTGAGCTCTGATTGAAGGATTTTCCACATTCGTTACACTCGTAAGGTTTTTCTCCAGTGTGAATTCTTTGATGTTCAATAAGGACAGAGCTTCTACCAAAAGCCTTACCACATTCAGTACACTCATAGCCTTTGTCTCCAGTGTGAATTTTCTTGTGCTGAATGAGGGCTGAGCTTCGGCTGAAGGCTTTCCCACATTCACCACATTCATAGGGTTTCTCTCCAGTGTGAATTCTCCGATGTCTAATGAGCTCTGAGCTGCCCCGGAAAGCTTTTCCACATTCACAACATTCATAGGGTTTTTCACCACTATGAATCCTCTGATGTCTAACAAGGTCCGAGCTCAAACTAAAAGCTTTGCCACACTCTTTACATGCATAAGGCCTCTCTCCAGTGTGAATTCTCTGATGTCTAATCAGCTTTGAGCTCTGGCAAAAGGCTTTCCCACAGTCCAAGCACTCATAGACCTTTCCTCCAGCATGAACTCTCTGTCGTGTCAAGACATTTGAATTCACACTGAGATTCCTTTCACTCTTGTTACACTCAAGGACACACTCTTCAGTGGAGATTTTCTTGTTGAAGGTAGCCAGACTAAGATGTCTTTCCCGGGAAGGGAGTGGACTCATTTTGCTCCTTGCAGCAGTTCCTTTTGGCTTCTCAAAGTTGTCCAGACCTCCCAAAGCTTCTTCAACCATCTGTCCTGAAGGAGTTTCCCCAGGGAGTCTTCCTGGGGATATCATGGATGCTGATGCTACACATTCCATAATTTCTTGCTTTGTTGTTAATACTTTGTCAGCCGCCAGCTTGCGATCTAAAAATGTGAATAGAAATACTGGTGTCATTCGATCCATGTTGGAAGGAAGGAATCTATTATAACAGGAATTGAGAGTAACCCAAATGAAATAGATATTCACCTATTAGGAGGAAAACTCTTAAGAACTAGTTTCCCAATCTCGAATTTAGAGAAGTGGCCTGGAGTGGTGAGAGGTGGCATCCTCAGAGAGTAACGGAGACGAAGCACTGGAGAGGAGAGATGGTGAGCAGGGAAAGACATCAGTTAGAGGAGATGGTGATAAATAGGAGGAGCAGTGAGAGACCAGGAAGCTAGGAGACAATCCTGGGTTAGAGGATTTTTGATAACGAGGGAAAGGAAAAGAGATGATAGGGAGTGTTCAGGAGAAAGAAAGAGGTCTAAGAAACCTGAATAAGTGGTGCTCCTAGAAAAGAAGGAGAGCAGAATATATGACTAGGAAATGCTTTCAGGATTAGAATTGAGCAGAGGTACAGAAGCAGGAACTAGAATGCATTATGGCAATTGCAGGTTCTGGTAGGTTCTAAGTAGATCAAACAATTATAAGCAAATAGAATAAGACACACAGAGCATAAGAAAAGGAATATTGTGGTTTCCTGACTCATTCTGGGATCAGGTGGAGTCTTATATGTTCACTATTTTATGTGCAAATGGTCAAAGGCAGATGGAAACAAGAGGCAGATGTGACCACCTGGAGCCAAACTTTGAGCTCTCACAACCAACCCCTCTAGTTTCTAGATTTTTAGTAACTCAGAAGGAGACTACTAGATGATGGCTGGGGAAACCTGAATTATTTTGAGGGGGGAAATCTGAAAAACTGTTCATGTACTTTCATCCTCCCAGAAGTCCTCTAAACTTGAATGCATTTTACAGATCAAGAAACGAAGGCTCAGAGAGGCAACATTACCTATGTAAGGCCATAGACTTCATAATTGGAAGAGCCAGGATTCAAAGATGCCCAACATCAAGGCCTGCAGTTTTCCCCTAGGTCCCCTACCTGTTCAGGGACCTGTGTGGCCTAAAAGCCTTTTAACTAGGGACGTGGCTTTAACCACACATTAACAAACATACTTTTAGCCTTGATGTTATGTGGATGATGCTGCACTGCCCATCCAGACCTGCTTTATGAATATGGTGCCTCCTTCCCTCAGCTGCTGTGAGTGTTGGCTCCTAAAGCCACAGCGGCCCCTCCTCTGAAGAGTTGCCCTGGCTGATGAGAACCATCTGGCCCAGGATGTTATTTACACCCTCACTGCCTCACCCCCCACCGCTTTAAGAAGGGACAACTCAGCAGTGCTCAAGGGGGCGGGGCAGGGGTTAAGAGATTAAGCCAACACTAGGTTTTACCCAAGACCACATCATGGCTTGATCTCTTCCCTTCCTGGGGTGTGAAATGCTCTATATTAATTCTTCAGAGGCAGGTCTAACCAAGACCCCTAAGACTAAAAAGAAATGAGCACAATGAGATTTATCAGTTCACAACAGTAATGTGCCACTGGGAGGGAACAAAAACATATGGATGACAACACGCAAGAGTTGCGAAATGAATCTATCGTATATTTTAAATTAATCAGATCCTCATTAGAGGTGGTTTTTTTTGATCCCTGTACTTCAAATGAATGTGGAGAAACTGAAGATGTCCAGAGAAATGTGCTAAGATGACCAGAGAGATGGGACGCAGATGGAATCAGAGGCAGTGAGATGCTTAGTCCAAGAAGATGTGGTACTCTTACATTTGTGTCTTCCTTGGATGCTCTGCCTCAGCCCTAAAGATTCCCTACACGTGTTATTCCTGTATTCTTTAGTGTTGTTTCTTTCTTTACCACTTAGTAATCAACCCCATTATAGTCAATAATTCTTAATATTGAACTTCCCTGTTCAAGTTACTATGCAGTTTCTGTTACTGATACATTATTCATCTCCATCTTAGGGACTGCCTTGCCAGTGGACCATAATATTAAAAAAAACCCCAACAACAGTATATTGGTCTTTGAATATTGTGGGTATTAGAGAATTTTATTAAAGACCTTAATCCTTAACCCAAAGTTAGAAATTATATTGGAATTTCAGATTCTAGGCATAGCCAATGGAAGGATATTTCAAGGCAAGAAGGGGGCCTTTCCACTCTGCTTAATGACGGCCACAAGTGACCGTCATTAAGAAAATGTGCTATGCCACAGCTGATAGCCCTACCATCATACTCAACCCCGAATGGGCTGCAACTCCTCACCTCTCTCATGGGAAGTCTGGGACTCCTGAGTCTCACTCTTGCCCTGATTCTCCAAGGGCTGGAGCTGTATACTCAGAGCCTTCAGTGCTCCTATGGATGTCATTTCCTTCCAGATCATTCCTTGGCCATGAGCTGTGTCCTAGGAGTAATCAAGTACCAGCACTATGATTCTGAGGATACAGAAGAAAAAAAACCCTAGAACAACGGGGCAAGACAGCTAGAGCCAGAAACTCATTCAGATGATTAGGTAGAAAACAACAGGCCTAAAAGCCCTAATGCCTTGATGCCAGTGGACAAATAATAACCCAAAAGACAAAAATTTTATAACTCTCTGATAGCTGCGACGTCAAGGTGACTCATAATGGCTTCCCCATTAACTTATAATTGGTAAAACAAGCAAACACATCACCTACTTCTTACCTGTTTCCTTGGCTCATCAAGCTCTTTCTCCAGCTCTTCCAACAGGGTCACGGCTTCCTCTCCGTTCTCAGGCTGGTGCTCTCTCACCCAGGCCTGCAGCTCCTCAGGCAGGATGCTCAGAAACTGCTCCAGCACCAGCAGCTCCAGGATCTGCTCCTTGGAGTTCACCGCCGGCTTCAGCCACTGATGGCAAAGCTCCCGGAGCCGGCTCAGGGCCTCCCGGGGCCCCGCGGAATCAGAGCAGCCAAACTGCCTGAAACGCTGGCGGAAGGTCTCTGGGCTGCAGGGATCTCCCTGAAGGCCAAGGTCCCGCCCCCAAACATAATTCTCTTCTTCAACCTTCACAATTATAAGTCCTTCTTGTTCTTCTGGAGCATGGTAGGCCAGGCCTGCAGCTTTTCCTGACATTCTGGGCAGAGACTGTCCAAAAATGCTGCCCCAGTTGAGTCAGGGAGGGAATGAAGTCTGTGTCTAAGAAATTCCTTCTGAATTCTGATTCTTCAGGGGACTCCTGAGATGGACAATGCTAATGTTACACAGGGGAAAAATGTGCTTAGAACAAAAAGGCAGGTTTTCAAAGACCAACTGCCAGAGACTGTAGCACTGTAAAGAAAAGTGACTAAAAGGGAGCTTCCATATAAACAATATATTAATAGATGATTCAGGATTTTTTCAAGATAGGAAATAGAAAATTTAAGAATCACGAAAATCAACTCAACCTTTAGAAATAATATTAGGGTCGGGGCACCTGGGTGGCTCAGTCGCTAAGCGTCTGCCTTCGGCTCAGGTCATGATCCCAGGGTCCTGGGATCGAGCCCCACATCGGGCTCCCTGCTCAGCGGGA